AGTGATTGTGATGAAAGATGGTTTCAAGCCAACTAGATTATTTCTATGCCATTGAGATCTACTGATATAAGCTTCTCATTGATGATGTAAGGGAGAGGAGAAATAAAGTGGTTGAGACAGGAAGCCACAGGTCAAGCAATTTCTTTCAAGATGTGGAAAACCCCATGTTTGAAAGCAGAGGGTAAGGGGCCAGTGAATAGAAAGAGAAGGAGGATATGGAACAAGACGGGGAAAAGCTTAGCAACAACGTACCTCGCATATTAGGATAGGCTAAGATTCAACAATCATAGCACCCAACATTTATTGGGAACTATTATCATTTAAAAATTTTGTTGGCTATCTGCCTTATACATAGTAGCAGCTAATAGTTATACTGCAAGTCACGTCTGATTTTTACTGGTGTCAATATAAATTGTAAATTAAGTAGAAATATCTTTTATCTACCTTTCAGACTTAAAATTTACCTTGAATTCACGTAGTACTTCATAGTTTACAAAAGCTTTCACATAATCCTCACAACAACAATGTGAATGTGCAGAGTCAGTTTTGTAATTCTCATTTTCAGGTAGAGAAATTGAGAGGCATTACAGTTAAATGACTTGCAAAGGAAGTTTTTTTTTTTTTCCTTAAGCACAGAGTTGATTATGAAGAGTCATTCTTCCCAGAGAATTCTTAGGTTTTCCGTAGATATTTACGGTGTTGGACTTCCTGACTACCGCTGGTCTTAGATAAAATGTTTTGCATGCATTCAGATTCCCTCTTTTTATTATCCCAAAGGCCCAGTGAATGCCCTGATGTTGCTCCACTCGACCAGGCCTCCTGGAGGCAACATAATGTCTATGCACCTTTCTCATTTTCCCTTCTCATCCCCCAAATTTAACAACCTATTTCCCATTCTCTTCAGAGCACTGTTAACTTATCTAATACATGAATTTGCACTAAGATCTTAGAACTGATAGGAGTTTAACAAATTATCCCCTCCCAAATTTGCATTTTAACCTGAAGACTTAAATTGTTTAATAATAGGGGCATTTCTGAGCCTCATAACTGAGCCAAGGAAGTTTAGTCTTTCCTGATATCCCATCACACCAACACAACAAAGGCATACTTTAGAGGCCTTTTAATAGGAATAACCCTAATCTTCATTACATGTAGATAAGTACTAAACAAAACAATAAGGGAGAAAATTATTCATAATTATACTAGTAAAAATTATAATTCTTTTGCACAGTTTAATTTTGTCATTGACTAATGACAATGTCAAAAACAGATTTTGTCTTAATTCAATAAAATGTGGGCATAAGCAAATAAGTTAAATGTTTAAGTCATCTTTTAATACTATCATTGATTTTAAAGAAAAGATAATTTCATAAGTGTTTAATGGTGAATTTATACAAATTTCCTTCTGTGATCATTCCTGAGGCATTTTACAGTTTTCATGCAAATAGACAAAAGAAAGAAAACTCTATACTTGCTAAAAAGACCTCCTTACATGTCATCTTTTTTTTGCCTACTGATTGACTCATCTTTCATTATTTTTCTAAAGATCAGGAGCCATATATTTAATTTAAAAAATAAAGAAATCTGTATCAAGCGTCTGTCTGTTCTGCTTAGTTCTGCAAACACTAGTTTCAGGACCAAAGATAAAATGAAATAGATGGGGGCTACTTTACATACAATCACCTCTCCCCTTGAGAGTCTCCTGTGGAAATGTGGTTTTCTAGGACTTCATTAATCTCTGGTTAGCTGAGGAACAAGAGGCTTACACACACTACTTACAGGTGGCTGAACCAATGATTGTTACCAAGAGAGCCTTTGACATGAAAGGAAGAAATCTTAAAACAGCAGAGAAAAGCAGGGTGATCATCCTAGCTCTTGCACATGAAGAATTGTTAGCTATTTTCATTGCATTCATACATCCTGAATCTACAGTATGTGGCTTCTTTTGTAAGATGCAGTACCTTACTGCATTGATTGCTGCTTTCTATTTAGCCTTCTTGTTTTTTACAACCCAGGAGCAACACTGCAGGATTTCAATTTCCAAATGGTTTGGGAAGATGTAAATAATTGTACAAACAACTATGGTTAACCATCTATACGTTCCTTCTTCTTTCTTTTTTTTTTAAGAAGTGGTGTTTAAAAACATGTACAGAGTATAAAATAAAACTTATGTACCTCAATAATCTTCCCTCATGAAAGACTGCTAGCATCTTTTTCACATGGTTTGCTAAAGCTTTACAAGTTAAAATTTCCACCCCTAATGCTTTTCCTTCCCTCTTTCTCTGCTTTTCCAGATCCTTTCCCACCCTGCTATGAGAAAGGAGACTACAACTTTGTTCTGCACATTTCTCAGAGTACTATAATTTTAAGCTTTACAGTATTTATCCTCCAATTAACTTTTATTTAGTACAGAAATAAAACTCAATTTAAGGGATTATAAAAATGAACAAAACTCAGTTCTTGACCTCAAGGAGCTTTATAGGGTGGTAATAATCCTAAGAGAAATAATAATGATAAATACATTTACTTTTCTCTCTACACTTTAGGAAGGGCTTACACATGCAAAACTTCATTTGATCTTTAAACATTCCTGTAAGGAAGACAGGACAGACACTATTTTCCTAACTTTACAGAGAAAAAACATGCAACATATTTAAAGAACTAAAAATAACTAGATAAGCTCATACACTGTGATTATAACAAGATAAACATGTTATATAATTGTGTGTGTGTGTGTGTATGTGTGTGTGTGTGTGTGTGTAGGTATGTATACATATGTGTGTATACACACACACACACACACACAGCTTATCCCTAGAAAGGTAGCTTGGCTTAAGAAAATATCTATCCCACTAATCTGCCACGTTGCTTAAAATTTCATTTTAGAAATTCCATACTCTGGGTGTCTACAGGAGGTTCCATCAAAACATAGTCTTAGGGCCGGCTCCGTGGCTTAGCGGTTAAGTGCGCGCGCTCTGATGCTGGCGGCCCGGGTTCAGATCCCGGGCGCGCCCCGAGGCACCACTTCTCCGTCCAACCCGGGGCCGAGTCCCACGTACAGCAACTAGAAGGATGCGGACCTATGACGTACAACTATCTACTGGGGCTTTGGGGGGAAAAAAATGAATAAATAAAATCTTTAAGAAAAAAAAAAACATAGTCTTAGAGAGAAATGCAAAAAACATTACTAAACACTAATAATTTACAAGTGGATCAATTTACTACACGATAATTGGGCTCCTTAGAAAAAGAAAGGTTGGGGTAAGGGTCTTAGAACAAAATGGAAAATAGGAAAAGTTTTCATAGGAGGAAAGACAGAAAGGCCTTGATAGACTGAGATAAAGCCCTGGGCACAAGCCGCCTGAGGACCCCAAAAAAACCGGGTAGGGCGGAGGTGGTGAGGATGTTAAAAGGAGAGACAATTTGACTAGCTTCACAATGTTGCTTCCGGTAATGAAACTCTGGGCTCAGTTTCAGCTTCCAGTAGGTCTACATTGGAAATTTACCTCTAAGGTACAAGTTTCTCTCACAGACCTCTAAATAAACACTTCCTTGTCCTTTAAAATTAAATCAGCTTTGGTACCATCTACTTCTCAACTGGCGCTTACCTCCCCTACCTGCCACCACCCTCATTCTTTCTTATAATTAAAAAAGGCTAATTGTAAAGCCATTTCTTGCTGCACACTTTCCTCTCTATTCACTTACTAAGGCCATGTCTTGCCATCTGATGTTGTATTTTCACTAGGACTCTCTCAATTCCTTTCTTACATATTTGCCATAAATTTAAGGTTCTTTAGGTAGTTCATTTAAAAAAATTCAACTGCACTGTGTTGCTACACGTTAATCAAACTTCAGGTCTGAGGGCCGGCTCCGTGGCTTAGCGGTTAAGTGCGCGCGCTCTGATGCTGGCGGCCCGGGTTCGGATCCCGGGCACGCCCCAAGGCACCACTTCTCCGTCCAACCCGAGGCCGAGTCCCATGTATAGCAACTAGAAGGAGGCGAAC